AAACTAAAACTATTGTTTTACGAAATAGTTTAAACTTAATTTTATAAACTATTAATTTTTATAAAAACTTTGTCTAAAATTGTACATAAAATTAAAATAAGTTTATTTTTTTTAATTCATTAAATAATTAAAAATGACATGAATAACATCTAGAGGTCTACAATCTAGATATGGTATCAGTGAACATGGATCATAATTTAAGCATATAATTGAACCTCGTCATACCAAAATCATGAACGTTAAATTATCAACATGCATAAACTTGAAGTAATACATACCGGGAGAGTTGTCTGTCCAGCTTCATCTACAATGCATGCAACAAATTTCTTTCTAGAGAAGAAAGGACAAGTGATGCCCAAGCAAGTGACGGAAACAACTTTGACTTCGTCAAATATCATTTTAATTTCTTCAACGCTACATAGATTCATCCCTGTCAGAAAATAACTTTTTACATGAAGAAAATATTAAGCAGCATGCTGATAGAAAAATATTAAAGACATACTCTCCTACCTGAAAAACAATGCCCCATTAACTTCCTCATGACACCCAGATCTGAATTTGGGGGAAAATAAACCACTCAAAAGGAAGGTGAGATTGTCGGGGTTTAACGTGACAAGATCTAGGTTTTGTTTTTTCTTTATTTTAGATTTAAGAAAGGAAAAAGGTTTTGAAAAAAAAAACCGATTTAAGAAAAGAAAATAAAGAGAAAAACTAAAAGGTGACTTTTTTTGGATTTACCTACGTCTGTGGTAGGCGGAGGTAGCAGCAGTAACAGCTCGAGTTTTGGGTTTAATGATGAAAAAGAGGAGAGAAAAAGGGAAAAGGTAGATAGAAAGAGAGGAAGTGAAATGAGGATTTAGGGTTTATTAAGGGCTTATGTATCCCTCCACTACAGCATTGTTTGGTTCAAAAAAATGAAAAGAAGAATAAGAAGGAGTCCGGTCAGCCCAAGCCCGAATTTAGATTTAACCAAACAAGGTCCCAGTCACCTTGTGTATTATTTTTATTATTTTATTTCAAAGTATATTTTAATTTAGGAAATTATTAAAAGAATAAATAAATGATAAAATTTGTTATGAATATTTTGTGAATATTTATTCATATTATCTATATCTAGATTTAATGTAAACTAGATTAGATTAGGATTTAATCCATCTAATTTCTGAGTGTTATCTTCATCTTGTAAAGAGATTATTTGCCTAGGCTCCCTTTGTTCATTTGTATATACACTTCAATAAGATCTATTCTCTTCCCCTAAATACTTTCTATTTTTCTTTAATTATACTTTCAAATTATCTTTATTTATTATTTTAAGTTATTTTTCATAAGATAAATTTCTAAATAAATAAATAAATTTAACATTTAAAAAATAAAAATTAATTTTTGAAGCTCACACATTCACTTCATTATCTCATTTATTCACACTCTCTTTAACATTTATAAAATAAAAATTAATGTCTGAGAGTATTTGAATTTAAGTAATTAGTTGACGAAGAAGGTTAACCTGTATTTATTTGTATTGAGCTCATTAATTTTGTGTTTCTTCATGTCATTTCTTTTTTTATCTTTTCGATTATATAAAAGAGAATGTAGATAGTATTTATACAGATTATTAGTACTTGATATAAACGAGAATGGGTGTCCTGTGTTGAATGAATGGTGTCCCTGCAATGCAAGTTTTAAGGAAGGTGGTTGCAAGTGTTGCAGTATCTGTATCCACCTAACCTGTAGCATTAGCCTTATCAGAACCATGAGTTGCAGCAACTGTTGAACAAAAAGGAGTTAAGTCCTCTATATAACAGCTTCTATAACTCAAACTTGTTTCAGAAGCACTTAGGGAGGAGAATTCTTGGATACAACAACTGTATGATTTGTTAATTTATTACAATTGTCTTTGGAACAATAAAAATACATGATGTATCATGAGTTTACAGATGAATTTCACCCAAAAAACTCTTATAAAACCTACTTTGATTCGTGTTAGAGCAACGTTAATCCTACGCCGGTACGAAACACAATTATTTGAAGTTCTCATTAGAGCTAGGAAAGGACACCAGTACCCTTATTTAAAGTTTCGGTTTTCGGTTAATGGATTGAGTCCAAATCATCCTAAAACGGTCCTGTGAAACGTGGGCCCAAGGTTTGATAAGGCCCAAGGTTAGGAAGAGAATTAGGGAAAAAAAAGAGTTTACAACTATATGATATATGTATGTATGCATGCATGTAGGTAGGTTAAAATATAGAAATGGTCTCTTTTATTTGAAGATCAATCCACACGCTTGTATTGAATGTGAATTTTGATTTTTTTTTGGGTTAATAATTAATGTTAAATTGGTAAGGATAACCATTAAATTCATGTCATAATTAATCTTGGATGGCAACTTTGGCATTCCAAATGTGATGTGTTTGCTTTTAGTGTAAGGTTTGGTCTTCACTAAAATCCTACCTTTGTCGGAAGAGTTGAAGTTGTTAGGAAAAAGAAAATACTAAGAAGAATCTCAATATTGTCTCGTAAAAGAGACTTGATACAGCAGAGCCCTATTAAAGGGCTTTTAACAATTAATAGCACGGTAGAGTTGGGAAGAGCAGCGCCCTCTTTCCCGGACCAAATACTCCCGTCGCGTCGCCTATCTTGTACAACATGGTGGTAATTGTTTTAGTGACATCAAATCCAAAAGTCGAATTTGTAAGCCATCCATATATAGAAAAGCAGCTAAATCTGAATGGTGATGTTCGTGCTTCATAGAGACGGATGGTTTCAAGTGGCTTTGGAATTGCCCTTTTGGCAGCAACTCTTTTCGCTTCACTTATTGCTAAGACGCCTGGCCTACTCCCTTTAAAGGCTTTTGCATGTGAAGATGCTATAAGCTACGCAAAATTCTAATGTTCGTCACTGTAGCTGTGGGTAGGTGCTGCATAGAAGGAAAGGAAAGCAGCCATTTTACGCGCACGTGCGCGTGGCGCATTGGCATGGGGACAAAAAGAGTGGAACCCCGGAAGGGGTTGCTTGTGTTAATGGCCATTTTCTGCGCCTCCCAGAACCAGTACTGCTGCTGAGTGCTGACAGCGAAGGGGGTTGTGGTTTCCTGCAAGTAAGTGTGGTTTAGGCAAAAAGTGATTGCATCACCAAAGCCATCTGATCATATATACTGTTGTCTACTACTATTATTATTATTATTATTATTATTGTCAACTCCCAAAAGCCAAACCCGCTTGATTATATACTAGCTTGTATTGTGATTTCTAATCAAATTGTTTCAACCTTATAAATATATAGACATTCTTTTGAAAGACATATGCATAAAACGTACACCGCATGGCACAAATATTCTTCATATGTTTATTATATTTTTTTCACTTATTACAGCATGTAAATTCTCTAGCTAGCAGCTACCCATAGCAGTAGCAGAGCAATCGGATACATCCTGAGTCAGGCTAAGCACTGAAGCAGCAGTTGCACTGCCGTTGTTCCACAGCCCACTCAACGTGGTAAGCAAGTCATTGGTGATTCATCTGTCTATCCATCCTGTCTACTTCTCCTGTGAATAGCCAAAAGTAACCCCCATGAGCACATGAGGCCATGACCCAGCTACTACTCGAATCCAACAAGCGGACAAGCAAGGCAAAACAGGTGTCAGCGTTAAAGCCAGTGCCGCATATGTAATTCCGCATTTAAGGCTTTGCGTGTCTTAATTTGTTGCAGGGATCAAAACATCCTTTCTTTTTACCCTTTTCTTTGTCTTTTCTCTTTTCTCTTTTGCTTCTGCATCTGCGTCTGTATAATCTCTCCAACAACTTGGTGTGCTTAAGAGTTAAGACCACGTTGAGACGTCAGATTTGGTTTACTACCGATCTCTTGGTGGTACAACATTCTCGTATCCTCTATCACATTCAGACTTGTAGTATAGCACAAATGTCTTACACATTCATTTACGCCCCATTCAACTAGATATTATTATTAAATATAGGGTTTAGGGCGGGCATATAAAGAAATTAACAATATCAATACATGAGCTTACAAAAGTTCACCATGCACATCCACCACCGTCTGGTTTTTACCATTAAATACATGGACAAGACATTAAAAACAAATCCTACCTGCACTCTGTGTGCCTACTTTCCTCTACGTGTAAATATAATATAATACTGGTACCAGAGTCATTCTCCATGCATAAGTGGTAACGGTTACAGGCCAACCCAAGCTTTAACTCGTTTCTTCAAGCTGCACGTACAGGCGAACCCTAAATTTAGGGGAAAATAGAAACATTAACGAAAAAGGCGAGACTTACCTTACCTAACCTAAGATTCCTTGGGGTCATGATGATAACATAACAACTTCTTATCTTAGCCAAAGTATTGTTGCTTAAATTGAAACTATAATCAATGGCATGCACATAGGTGATCTGAAAATTCGATATTTTTTTAACATTTTCTTCCCATAATTTTTGATTCGACTCATGAGTAGGCTGAGTTAACATGAGTAGCCAAAGCTTTAACTCGTTGGATTCGGCTGACTGACTTGTTTGCTACCTTATAGATGCTTGCTATTAGCCGCATAAACTAGGGTTATAAATATAATAATAAAAACAAATGCTATTGCTTGGCATGTGGGGAAGGGAGAGGAAGGAGGAACACCGCTACTATTACTATTAGTAACTACTACCAGTATCAGTTCTTCCCTGTTGTTGGCAGATAATGTTGTGTCATAGGAACTCTGCGTCATCAGCATCCATCAGGACAGGTTTCATTAGTAAATTACGTTAAAGCAGACGAATACCAAAGCAAAACCTCCTTGAAGCAGCAGGTAGCCCTGAAAGGAGTTGAGAGCCCAGCTCCTTAATTTGTCTTATATATCTCATCATCATATCCCCAGCTAGATAGAGATACATATATCTAGTCTAAAACCAGCCCCCTCCAATCGTCAGTTTCAATCATCTGCTAGTTTTGCTTATGTATATATATTTATTATTTATTATAAGTTCATTATTAATTACACACATATGTTGGGCTCATTGAATTCAACTTCCCACGATCAAGAAGAAGAGGACCCCTCCGCCACAGATCTACAACAACAGCAGCAGCAGCCATCGCATTCAACAGGATTCACCTCAAACTCACACTCCCAGCAGGCAATACACATGCGTCAATTACTCATCAGTTGCGCAGAGCTCGTCTCTCAATCCGACTTCCCCGCTGCTAATCGCCTCCTCTCCATTCTGTCCTCCAACTCATCCATTTATGGCGACTCCACCGAGAGGTTGGTCCACCAGTTTACCAAAGCCCTTTCCCTGCGCATCAACCGTCTTCACTGTCCTGGAAGCCTGCTGATGATGATGAATATCAACTATCCAATTGCTGCTGCAACTGCAACCGCTACTGCCATTGCCAATTACGACATTGATCCGTCTCTACAGTCATGTTATCTTTCCCTAAACCAAATAACCCCATTCATTAGATTCGCTCATCTCACAGCCAACCAGGCCATACTCGAAGCCATACAAGTAGGGCAACAATCCATACATATTCTTGACTTCGACATCATGCACGGCGTGCAATGGCCCCCCTTGATGCAGGCATTAGCCGAACGATCTGCAAATAACCTCCACCCTCCACCCATGATTCGAATTACCGGAACCGGTCACGACTTGAACATCCTCCAGAGGACTGGCGACCGCCTTTTCAAGTTTGCACAGTCTCTTGGCCTCAGATTCCAGTTCCACCCTCTTCTAGTCCTCAACAACGACCCTACTTCGGTTGCTCTGAACCTTCCCTCCACGCTTACAATCCTTCCGGATGAGGCACTGGCTGTTAACTGCATGTTTTATCTACACAGGTTACTCAAAGACGACTCTCGTGACCTGCGCCTTTTCCTTCACAATATCAAGGCCATGAATCCCGCGGTGGTGACGATCGCTGAAAGGGAAGCCAACCACAACCACCCGCTCTTCTTGCAGAGGTTTATCGAGGCCTTAGACTATTACACAGCCATCTTCGATTCCCTAGAGGCAACCCTGCCTCCTAACAGCCGGGAGAGACTAGCCGTGGAGCAGATATGGTTTGGCAGAGAAATTGTCGACATTGTGGCTGCAGAGGGAGAGAATAGAAGAGAGCGACACGAGAGCCTGGAGACGTGGGAGGTGATACTTAGGAGCTCAGGATTTTCCAATGTTCCGTTGAGCTCATTCGCACATTCACAGGCCAAGCTTCTCCTTAGGCTCCATTATCCGTCTGAGGGTTACCGGCTTCAAATTCACAACAACTCTTTTTTCCTAGGTTGGCAGAATCGTGCCCTTTTCTCTGTATCCTCCTGGCGCTAATTTATTTATCCAATATTCCTTTTGCTAATTATTGTCCAATTATTATGCCCCTTTCAGACAAAGAAGATACTTAATTATACATCAAGCATATAGGTTTTTTCTCTATTGCTTCAGCTAGCCTTCTCTATCCTAGTCTTAAAAACCAATAATCCGACAACCCTCAGCAAACATAAAGAAGATGTCAAGTAAAGCCATCGGTTAGAATCTGAGCAAAAGAAGAGAAAAAAAATAGCCCTCGTCACAAGATGGAGTGGAATGCAATCTGAACTTGCCTGTCTGGTTCCTGTTACCTAGTCACAGATGGATGCGACTGCATGCATGGGTCAGGCATCGTGAGAACCTGCACGTTGCATGAAAATTTTTGGAAGAAACAGCTATATCCAGGGCCAGCCGAGTTCCTGCTATCATCTTCGCTTCTTCGGCTTGCATCTTCAGTCGGTTCTTTCTCGGGGAGCGAAACTAAATGAGGGTATAATTTTGGTCGTTGGGTACGTTGACATATTGGTTTCCCTCTTGTCTACTTTGATTTCTCTTCTTTATAGCATAACTTAGCTATTGCCTTATCAATTGTGTAACCAAGTCGTCTTCAGCCATTGCGGTAGGCAACAACTGTATGTGGGAATATTTCGTTGCCTTAATTTATTCCATTTAAAGTTTCAAGCACCACCTTTGGATTGTTTGTCTCTTTATATTTGTGCGCTTCTTTTCTTTTCTACTACTAGTACTTTTATATTTTATTCTAATTAATGGTTCTTCATTTTAATATTATTTTTCTCTATCACGCTGTCTTTTCTTCTCCTTCTTCTTCTTCTTCTTCTTCTCTTCTCTCTCATTAAAGTAATGGTAGGAAATAGTGAGACTTTAGTCTTTTGCAAAGGAACCACTCTTGTTCCCCAAAATTCCTTTGTCTCTCTCTTCATGGTGGCTTTTCAAGACGAGGATGCATGAGGGTTCTTGTTTTCTGCATTAAGTACCCGTATATGCCTGTTGCTGTCTTTGATATTGCACCATTTATTACCTTAATTTCTGCCTTTTGTCCCCTCAACAAAACTATCAAAGTTGTCAAAGTAGAGCATTTCATGCCCACCTTGCCTCCTCTAGGGCCATGCATTTGCAAACCCTCCTGCTAGCTAGGGATCTCTCGTGTCCTGTGGAGTTTCAAGGACCACGTCTCTCTGGTTCTTTTTACTTGTTAATGGCTTCTTAAAAAACACAGTGTTCTTTCTAGAAAAAGTAGTCAGATCAGTAATATCCATAGAATGTAGCTCAAGTCATAACTGAGCGTCATGTGTTCCTAATAATTTGTTTAACATGGATTCCCTTGACCAAATTGATGAAATGGCCCTCCTTCTTTGGTTGGAATTGGAAAGTAGTAGACAGTAACAAAATACTTGCAACAAACAGGGTTGATGGTAAGGATAAAAATCTGTGAGTGGAGAGATAATATGGATGGCACAACAAGCTTTTAGGCCGTGGCTTTTTGGTAGCTGACACTGATAAGATGGTCACAAGAGGTGACGCCCCCATACATCACAGCGCGTCGCAAAGCTTAGCTTGCGTGCTGAGAGTTGTGGCACAGGCTAATCGAGGGTTGGTGCACGCATGGCATATGACAGAATCAATCCTTCCATCCGATTCAGACGTAACCTCTTGCCTCCTGGACTGGACTGTGTTTGGTTGAACCAGACCCAACTTAATTCTTTTAACTACTCATTGGTATATGTGAGGGATCCATTGGTTACTAATGACTGAGAAAAAGAAAAATGACAATGAAAGATATATAGCCCTAGACGGATGCAATAAGTTTGGATCATTCTTTTTTGCTTCTTTAGTCATTGCATGCAACCAACCACAGTGAAGCAGAATACATCGGAAATGTTTCATTTTATTTTGCTGCTAAGAGGATATTCTTGTAGCTTCAAAGCACCATGTAAGGGACATTAGTTTTGATTAATGGACAGTGTGGGAATCTTATCTTCCTCTCGTATATATTTAATTTAATTCTGAAAATGATCAATCCATATTTTTACTGACTCACTTGAGAATCAGAGAGATCCTTCTTTCCTTGAATGCTGTCAAACTTTGTTTTGGAAGTTTAACTTAGACACTTAGAATTATGTCAATCGGGTTTTGATTCCAAGGGGAATGAGTTTCAGTTTAGGAGGAAATAGAGGGTTGCAGACATTTCATCTTCCATAACAAACTGGATTGGTATAAGGCTATGTTATCTACTATAAGGGTATACACATATGTATTTCATGTAACCTGGCATTTCTCACCAAAAATATCTGTAATTGGTACCGTACGATTTAGGAAGCACATGGGTGGAAGATAGGGGCTCATAGCCATACGGGGGACATGCCAAGAGAAATAAGGTTGACGTGGCCGTGCTCAAGAAGTAAAACAAGAAGAGGTGGCAGGCCCAGCCATCGTACCACTTTTCTCCCATCATCCCATCATGTTCATAAGCGTTCCTTTCCCAAATAATTTGAGAGAGAAACTGCCAGCTCCCTAAGGTCCCGAACCCAAACCAAGCTGCTTATTTTCTTTAACATAATAATATATTTTCCCGAATAGGAATGGAAGGGAATGGGAATGGGAATGGGAATGGGAATGGGAATGGGAATGGGATCTACTGCGTTACCCAACCGTCTAACGAAACTAAATACAAATACACTTTTCAAAACACTACTGATCTGATCGCCAGTCTCACCCAAATGTTCGACCACAAAAACATCAGCATACACCAATCCGTCTATATCTAAAGGACTTCATTCAGAACCTGAAGAGGCCCCGGCTATCAAGGTTCATTCTGTCTATATCGCCAAAGAATTTCATTCATCTATCGAACAAAACAAAACAAGAGTTCCATTCAAATATATCTAAAGAATTGCATTTATAATCTGTAACATGGGGCGACCTTTTGCTTTTCCCGTCTTTCTCACCTATAACGAATATTTCTGCCTTGCTATGATCCCACATCTCAAATTATACTAATACCTTATTGCATGTTGCTGACGCATAATACAACTACTTATTCCCCAAATCCCATCAACCCGTTTCTATTTACCAACTCCCAAGTTACAACTCCCCCAAGTTTCCAACACATGCACATTTATCTCAACTTGTCCAAGAGGATGTACCAGCACGGCTCTGGCTGCTGCCAGGGGGGCATGAGCATGATCAGCATCTGCTTTTAATAGATTTTAGACAGTAACATTGGCCCTTGTTCCAGTTATGAGCCCATAATTCATCCACCACTTTAAAAATAACAATTACATTCTCAAATTATAGAGGAAACTCTTCTGTAAAAGCTCTAGATTCCTGAATCACAAGCTTCCAGCATGTCATTCCTAGAAGCACAGCTGCAGAAGGAAAAAGAGATGCGTAAGTGGTCGTTGGCATGTATTAGACCATAAATTCTCTAATTCAGGGTTACCTTAATGATATTCTAAGATATTGCCATGCATTATCAGCCTTGGGGTTCATTGCGAGTGCTCTAACATAATAACGGATTGAGTCCTCATACATACCCTGGATGCAAATTTGTTTACATATTTGATTAAATCAAACTGCAGTGTTGCCCTCACCCAAGAAAAGAGGGACAAAGAAGACAGGTGACATCCATATCTTTCTACTAAATTACTATTATGTGATTAATCAACTTATAGGTAAAATTTAGTGATTGACAATGATATTCAACTATCAACAATACCCATGAATACCATGACGAGAGCACTGCAGCATTTAACTAACCTGGTTGGCATAACTGATACCCATGTTTGCCCAAGCTCGAACATAGTTAGGCTTCAAATCTAATGCCTGAAGATCCAAAGATAAACCAAAATAACAAAGTCAATAGATCTGAGAAGACGAAAGGCCCCAAATAGAAAGGGAAGTTGATCATCAGGGAATTTTAGACACAGAAGCTCAGTAGCAGAGGGTAAACAGATTCAGCAGCATAGAAGATCTAAAAGCACAAAAACCTAGTTTGAAAGAGATGATGATCAAGAATAAATTTAAATTGAGAAAACACCTAACCAAACCATTTATCAACTAATAGCTTCGACAGATCAAATAAAAAATTCCACTAAGAAGAGCTGAATAGAAGAGAGAATTTGTTTTTGAAGTGTAACTAGGTGCAACATGATACTTGGAGAATATTTTTTGCAGCCTTAGGTAATAGAGATGGATCAATCAAATAACGAACAGAATTCAATTTTTCTTCAGGCCTTAGGTAATATGTCTAATGATGGGCCATCTAAATTTAGAGTAGGGAAACATCTAAATTTTCAAATATAATCCAAAAATCAAACTAAAATTCACAACCCTAACAATATAATTGATCATTGGCCCATCACCATTTAAAGGGTGATTATGAAGGGATTACCTGCTGATAAGCTAATATTGCATCAGCACTCTGCACACTGTTGGCTTGTGTTGCACCCAGCTTGTTCCAGAGAGAGTAATCGTTAGGTTGAAGTTTCAAAGCAGTTTTGAAAGATGCAATAGCCTTATCATATTCTCTCGACAAATTGTATAGAACACCAAGGACTACATGTACATCAGCATCCTCAGGAGACATCTGAGCAGCTTCATTGAATAATCTAGCAACCTGTATGACAGACAAGGCTTTAATGGACACCAGAATAGAATAAAAACTTTCGAAAATGTCTTATATCATGGAGGAGGAAAAAAAAGGTGGGAGGGGAAAGGGGGGGGGGGGGGGGGAGAGAGAGAGAAGTATAACTGTTAAACATAAGCAAATACATCTATGATTCTCGTAGTCTTCAGGAAACTTGTCCCCTGTTGCCTTAACTGAATTTTGTAACTCAAATCCAAAATGTTATCACTGCAGACATGGAATTCATCTACACAAAGACACTCTTGTAATCCACAGCACAAGCCAAGTTTTGCATTGTAATGATAGTCACCCAAACGAACATTAACTGAAGAAGCTTAGACTCAAACTAGATTGCCATTTCAAGGCATCATTCCAA